AACAGTCTAGAGCCATCCTCTTTGGAACCCCCTTTCAGGTAGTTGAAAGCAGCTATCAAATCCCCCCTCATTCTTCTCTTCTGAAGACTAAACATCCCCAGTTCCCTCAGCCTCTCCTCATAAGTCATGTGTTCCAGTCCCCTAATCATTTTTGTTGCCCTCCGCTGGACTCTTTCCAATTTTTCCACAACCTTCTTGTAGTGTGGGGCCCAAAACTGGACACAGATGAGGTCTCACCAATGTTGAATAGAGGGGAACGATCACGTCCCTCGATCTGCTGGTGATGCCCCTACTTATACATCCCAAAATGCCATTGGCTTTCTTGGCAACAAGGGCAGACTGTAATGAAATGAAATTAGCAATGTACTGTGCCTGTCAATGTGAGGCATTAAAGTTCCCCGAGTGTATGAGAGTGGTGGAGTTTAAAAATTAATTCAGACCGTGCACCTATTTGCTGGAATTCATCTGTTGAATTTGCATCACATTTAATAAGTTTCTGTGACACAACTCATGTCCTTTTGTCTAGCCTCTCTTAATCCAGTGTTAATTCACACCCAGCTAAAATTCAAACAATATTACAAATTTCAAACTGTTAATTAAAGTCTGTGAACTTGGATAGATCTGGATAATACTGGCTTTGCCCACTAAGGGTTTTTTTAAACTTTTTTATTAGCTAATCTCCAACTTCTCTCAAGTTAAATCCAGATGACTACATGATCTCACAATGATCTGTCAATGGGTTACAAATCTAAATGAAACCAAGCAAAATTAAGTTACTAGCTTAAGCTAATAGTAACAAGGCATATCACCCACTGAAATGAAATAAGAATCGTTGATCAGTAGAATAGAAGAAGACTAAAGCTACATTTTAAGAGGTTCAAAATTTTTATATTTTTCAGTAAGTTTTAATGTATACCTATTAACCTCTAAGTAGCTGTGGCAAAAATCTATCTAAGGCAGAGTTTCCTGTTGATCCCCGTGGACATGTTCATAACCCCCTCACTGAGAACCCATGATGTAAAGTATTTATAGAGTGCCTATCGCTGTAGGATATCAGTGTTTAAGACAAATAATTGTAAAAATGGTTTCTTTGCTGACAGGGCATGAAGTTTGCTTGCTAGCAGGAAGAGATGATGGACACCTTAAATTATAAAAAGTAAATTAGATTTCTAATGACATTTCAAAGTGAGTTTCATTGGGTGTTTAAGATCAAGAGTAAGATTACCTATGGATACCAGATGTTTGAGATGGTTAGACATCATCAATAGCTTTATTGACTCTAGAAGGGTCAAAACCTGCCAGTCTCCCTTTTTCCTGCAAAAACTGCAGAGCCTCTGGTATTGTGACCTGCCCATTTAAACAATCACAGCACAGTTCTTTCTGGTAGCCTCCCAGCAGAAAGTTGAAGCAAATGTTTCACATTTACTTTTGTGGAACTGCATTCATGGGCACAACCCCACATGCCCTTCCTAGGTCTTGTATTAAAGGTTAGAGGTAAATATCTTCCTGGTTTGGAACAAAATATCCATCAGCCTGTGGTGAATCCAAATCCTAGGTTTTAAATTTCTGGCTATTAACTCAGGCTTATCCGGGATCTGGTAAAATATGGTGAATTAATACGGAACAGTGGTGGGCAACCTGTGGCCTGCCAGCGGCCCATCAGGGTAATCTGCTGGTGGGCTGCTAGACAGTTTGTTTACATTTCCAAGGCCACCTGCAGCTCCCAGTGGCCGCGTTTTGCCCACCACTGATATAAAAAGTTTTGGGAGACTAGCTAATCTGGGGAGGGCCTATAAAACTAATAGGTAGTTACAAGGACTACAATAGCATTGTTCGTCCTGATTTTTCTTGGCCACTCAAGCCAGCTGAGAAAAAGATGGGAGGATGTACATCCATTTTCCAGATAGATTCTCTCTCATTCAAGCAATGTCGCATATTTTCTTGTTCCAATGCTTTGCAAAAAGCGATTGGTTTCTTCTTGCTTTTGGAGGTGCAGCCCCCAAAATCCTGAACATCAAGTTTTTAATTATCTGCTTAATTACCTCTCCCTGAGCTTCTGTCCCTTCTAGACAGAAGATTAGATGGCTTAACCCATTGAATTGTATATTCATTTACCCTGGACATAAATCTTAGATACTTAGAGTTTCTTCTGTTCTGTCTAGAGAAGGATTCTGTGAGTATGTTCCCTGACCCTCGGGCTCTGGTTTCCTGCCAACCACTGCATGGCAGTCATTTTGTAGGACAGATTTGGATGTCAGGTGAAGAATTAAACTACAGTATTGCCAATTGCTGCTAGTTCTAACCCTCTGATGTTCTGTTTTCTCTCTCATTTGGACCATTTACTCAGTGATGTTTGTGTACCATATGTGCTCCTCAACTTGATAGCAAAGCATCCACGGTGATCTGCATTGCAGGAGTCGCTGTGAGGGGATTCTTTGTGGTAAGGGTTTTTGTATGTTGACACCCCCACAACAAGGATGAGAGCAGGGAGAGTGAATGGAAAAGTGAGGGAGTTCTCCTGGAGATTCTACATCAATAGGAAGAAGGCTCCTAGAGGTCTCATGTGTGGTAGGGCCCACTGTGGCCATGCAGGAGACCATCAGAACTATAAGCAATGGAAGCTCCTAGAATTAGGTAGTAGGATTCCCTGAAAGGTTCGAGATCTAGTCCTTGACCTTGTCTGCTCTGCCCTGAGGAAGTGGGTGAGGCCAAGTCCCTTGATGAATCAGATCCTGGATGTGGGATAGAGAACTCTTTTCCCATCTGATCACAAAGTATGGTCTTAGAGGACCTGAAGAACTTCTTGTATTGATAACATGGCTCCCTTCCTGATGGCAGACTAAATCAGGAAATTGACCAGATAAAATATGAATCTCTTCCCCCTCTCCCTGAGACATGCAATCATGATGCCCATCGCCTTGGAGAATACTGACTTATCATCAGCACCCCAATAGGCATGCATGCCAAGGAAATTTCTCCTCGATCTTCCCCTCTCTCCATATCTCAAATGTTCATATTTTATATCCGTTGAAATCTTACTTTGCAGTTTCTTTTCAATTAAATGTTTTTTAATTAAAAAAAGAGAAACTAATAGCTATTAAGATATATAGTGTATGTTTCATCATGCTTACAAATGGAATAAAAAATAATTGAATTATTGTACATACACTTATGCTATGTTAAATATTACTTATTGTAATAATTTATTATGGATTACTTTAAAAAACCACAAAGATGGGTGTATTATTAGTGACAGTGTACACAATACTGAAAAAATAGTTCTGCTATTGTTCGTTATTCCTTATACTGTTACACAATATACCGTATATGTAATACTATTCATTATACCTTAAGGTATAAACAATTAACAAAAGCTTAATAAGAGCCAGTCCTGAACTCCTTACTCTGTGCGGATTCACACTGAAAGAATGGGCTAAACCAGTTTTAATTAGTTGCCTATTCTATATAGAGAGATGTTTGGTAAGTATACGTGTTTTGTACATGTTGGTAGACAGACACTGTACTTACTAAAAGGAAAAATCCTGATATAAAATGTCATTTGATAAATTTATTTGGCATACATGTTATCATATTGATATACCTGTCAAAACTACATAATATACAGCAAGGGGTTTAAAATGACAGAAGACGTGACAGTTACGGCTATGATTCATAGGTAACTGATACAACACTGCTGCAAATTTGACCATTGTCTTTTACCTGGAACTGGTAATCTAATGTGCTGACACTTTTATTTAGTTCATAACAGCTGCAATATTAATTTGTATAGTATTTTTAAGATATATAGCTTATTAAAAATTTAACATGGCATCAGTGTAGCTGCTTTAAGTACATAAACAATGACATACTGTTTTAATTAACAGCTCTAGAAAGAAGCATGTGTCTGACAAGCAAATTAAATCACTGCCACTAAATGTAGACGGAAATGGCTACTTTTTAAATACAGAATTGTCAGGTTTTATTTAAGGTTTATATATTATATATTGATCAACTGATCTACCTCTTTGTCATTACATTTTTTTTCATATACTATGCTTATACTGTGATCTTTCTACAGCAATAGTGTCTTCATACTTCTTCCAGAGCTTTAATCATTTCCCGTCTTTTATGGCTAAAGTTCAGGTATATCTGATTTCACCATATAACTTGCCTAAACAGCCTTTATTATTAAAATGGTGCTAAACCTTTCATTTGAGAGTTCTAAGATTACTTAAGAACTTCTCCATTATTAATAAGCCAACAGCGACCATAAACCATAATACATTACATTAGAAGACAGTTTCCCTAGATACAGATACGAGAGTTTCATTTCTCTAGATGTATTTCTGATAAGACTAGGGATTCTCCAATGGAATTGTCTTAAGCAGCTACAGAAATTGTATTTTGGCTTGGAAAACTTTCATCATAGGGCACAGCTATGAAACAATTCCTGCCTGCAACAAAGCACCTCCTAGCTACGTTTAGTTCAGGAGGTTTATGGTGAACAGCAACTAAGATGAAGTGTTTCATTAAGCCCTTCAGGCTGATCTAGTTAACATTCACAAAGTGAAATAACATCATTTTACTCTTCATTAGCTGGCTGTTTAGAAAAAAGATATGAGCTAATCTATTTTATTTCAGTTGTTAGGCAATGTCATGGTACTACCACCCCCACCCCCAAAAATATAAAGTAGATCTGATAATTGAGGGCTTATCAATAGTAGTGATAAAGAATTCCCTCTATGGTTGTCATTCAGTGTTTCACCTTGGTGGGCAAAAATGATAAATCACTTCATGTAAAATCTATTATTAAACTAATCAGCAAGCCACAGTATAAAAAAAAGGAAGCTCACAAAACAAAACAACACAAAAAAGCTGACATCAGAGAAGGATAGACAGGATTAGATCCTGCATGATTTCAAGAACAAATAGATCCCTCTGGGACTTTGGGGATTAATATTTTTTCTCTCTCAGACACTGTTCAGAATTAATGAGGGTACCTGCAACAATGCTGGCAAGCTGCTGAGTTCTGGTGATGGGGTAGATGCTGCGTGCCTGAACGACTGCTGAAGCTATTTTCTTGGCGTGCCTCTCCTCCCCGTATGTTCTCAGGATGGACGCAAGCGCCTGTTGATCTAAAGCATTCACAACATCAGCAGCAGTGGGCATGTCAGGATACCTACGCACAAGAAGAGCCAATTAGTTCACTGACGTCAGTTTTCATTGACAAGAGGTGAAGCTTCATAGCATTGAGACATAAAGTCAAACACACATATTGCATGCAAGTGCCTTTCAGGTTTTAAAATAAGAGAAAGCAATCCTGTGAAAACGGAAATAGCTTCTACCTTTTAAATCCCGTCTTATTACTTCAGATGGAGTATCTTTCTTAACATTAATTAGCAATAAAGAATAGCTGAAAGTTCAAGTACTACCATAAACTTTTAACATTAATGAGTGGACAAAGATTAGCTGTAGTTCAAGTATTTTTCTAAAATTAAAAGACTGTAAGATTGCCTTTATTTAGATATCTTCAAAATATGAACTCATTTCTTATGTGTTAATTTTAGTCATCTTGCATTATTTGTTCTGTTTTCACTCAGAATATAGAGGAACTAATCTCAAGGATCTTTCCCCTTATATGCAGTGCTATGAAAAATGATCCCTTATGAAGATAATTTCCTGAACTGTCACTTAAAGGTATCACAATTTAAATTCAAAAGTATTTTGAAAGAAAAGGATATTTGTAACTATCTACCAAAAGGCAAACAAAATATCCCATAGTCATCAATATTTCTTTCATCTGAACAACTTTCTTTATTGAAATCGTTCAAGGTCTTTTATATACACTGCATTGGTGTTCACTAATGTGCAGGGACTGCTCAATCTAATTCAACTATTTCACAGACTTGACTCTTCTACAAAGGGACTGACAGGCAGAATATTTTTCAGTATTTTATTATTTCCCCACAATATCTTACAGAAAATAACCAAACTTAAGATACTATTTGCCCTCTATATTTATCCTCAACCATACAGTATATGCCTGTTTTATCCCAGTCATTCTTTATTTTTATCATGCAAGTTCATATGCCAGCAGGGATATTTTAGTGGCAAAAACCTCAGGTTTACATTCCTTGAAACCACAGGCTTGAACCCCAGCAAGATCTCAGCTGTTCATACTAGAGTTGACTAAATTGTGTATCATGCAGTTTACTGTGTCAGTCTTTGAGACAGTTTCTTAAAAACTGAGGTAACATTGGCTATGTGTGAACATTAATAATACCAGGTTTCAGAGTAGCAGTCGCGAATACAGACTAACACGGCGGCTACTCTGAAACCTGTCATTATGCAAGGCACTGAATTTAGCCGTATGGAATTAATAATACCATGGCTCATATTCTAAGAATATAGGTTTGTCCCACAATTTTTGGCCAGAATTTCCCATTCCCTTAAAGGCGTGCAGCATGCTATGTCTCAGTTAATTACCATCATCCATACAACAGAGGTGACTGCATTTTTGGTGTTTTCTGTAATAAGGTATATTCCTCATGAAAGGCACTGGGTCCCTTTGAGGTGACAGGTGCTATATACATAGAAAACATTTCTATTTATTATTAGAATTGCATTCCACCTTCCAGATTATACTCAGCAGTGACTCTAATCAATTAAATATAAAGGTATTTTTTTTAAACTAATTGCTAATTTGAGTATAAAGTAAGTCATTCTGATCTGCTTGCTATGAAACATAGGATGACATTAATGAATTGCTTACAGTAAGCATGCAAGTAGTGGTAGAATATTTAATGCCTTGAAAACAGTGTTGCCATTGACATTTAATTGATAGGCTCACTGCCGTTTCTTTGTAGAGGTTAGCACATGCCCATCTTCAGAGTAGCTACAAAGGATAAAATAAATCTGTTAGAACTTCACTTATACTTAAACTACCCTCTCAGTTACAATTTCATTTATATCCTACATCATGGTCTGCTTAACAAAATTAAAGATGGTTGTTTTAATTATTGTCATTAATCATTGCTTTTAAACTTAAATATGGAAAACCTTACAGTCAAATTCTGACTTTCCAACACTGAAACCCAGAAGTACCTTCACTTTATGCTGGAATAAGCGAGATTGGAATCTGGCCCTAAATCCTGAGAACTAGATGAGCCTCTATGGCAAAAGAACAAAGCTGATTTATTATGTATGTGCAGAGTTAGATGTGGGCGTGTGATGGGAATTCTGCAACCTAAAAAGGAAATTAAATTCAGAGTGTTGTTGAGAAATTGATTTCTTGTTGTGAGAAGAAATGTTTGATCAATACATACCTGCCACTATCCATCCTCATATCCAAAGGGCCATCCTTTCGCAGGGAAAAACCTCTTTCAGGAGTATCAAGCTGCATAGAGGAACACCCAGCATCCAAAAGAACTCCATCTAGCATTCCTGGCTCCACTCCAGCTGAGATTAACAAGGTTTCTGTTTGGCTAAACTGCCCTAGAAGAGCCTGAATCTGTTTCCTGTAAGAGAATCACAGATAAGAAGTGTCACTCTGAACGCTAATAGTGCAATATTTCTTCCATTTTAAAGTAGGAAACAAACAAAAAAAATAGGAGTAAAATTTGCAGAAGCATGTAAGTGACTTAGGCTTCTCAGTCCCATTTTCAAAACAGACTCAGGAATTTAGGAGCCAAAGTCTCAATGACACTTAGACACATAAGTCACTTCGAAAACAGGACTCAGGCACTTCTCAAAGTTTTATCTTGGGTCTAGTTTTCCTCTGAGACCAAATTTACATTAATGCAACTCTGCTAACTGCAACAGAGTTACTCCAGTTTTCAGCTAGTATAAGTGAAAAGGGCCCACTACTTTTATTCATCCAAACAAAGAAAAATGAGAAACAAGAACATAAAAAAAAATCATTTAAAAAATTCAATCACAAGAAAAATTATGATCACAGTTCCTTACTACTAGAAAAATGGAATAAACAAATATTACATGAAGGTTATTTGCCTACACACAAGCACCCTTAATATAAAACTGTACAATACATCATTAAATGTGTATACTGAAGTTCTGTAGAATAGGAATAGGATTTCATAGCCTTGAAAAGAGCGGTGATTCATTCGATATACTTACTCAGAGATTCAATATTTTAACTTACATTTAAGACAACTCTGAGAAATGTATCATTTTCCCCCAGCACCCTTTCCAACTAGCATGTTAATATAATCAAAAAACCAATCAGAAATGTGACAAAGTGGGAATATCTATATTATCTGTTATGAATATGGTGCATGCCTCTGTGTGTGAGTTTATGATGGGTTACTTCCTATGGAGTTACATCAAAAGTGGTTGTTAGAGGAACAAGCAGGAAAGGTAAAACAATGTCCAAGTTTCATCCCAACAAACACTCAAACATAATAGCTAGGTTTATAGCCAAGAAAAGACTCCTCCACCCCAACTGTGGTGACATAGCTGTTTCGCTAGGGCTGAGATGACAGAGATCAAAGGGAATGGTAAAATATTAGAATACTCAGGGTCTAGAAAAGAGTGGAAGTTGAGTGAGTGGCCAGAGATTACTCAGAGAATGTCAGAGAAAACTGACAGGCTGGCCAGGGGAATACACACAGACGGAGAGCCTGCTGTGAACAGGACAGTCTGTTTATCCCAGCCAGAGATGGGGGGTAGCTATGCTGAGAAAAACTGCAAAAGCTGTCAAGCAAAGATTAAGGATAAGTACGATGCAGGTGTACAGACTTTTTATTGTTTTACCTCTTGCTGTATGTGCTTTGTACCTTGGGAGGAAGGAATAAATAATAGGGCTGTCAAGCGATTAAAATAATTAATCGTAATTAATCATGCAATTAATTGCACTGTTACACAATAATAGAATACCATTTATTTAAATATTTTGGATGTTTTCTACATTTTCAAATATATTGATTGCAATCGTAACAGAATACAAAGTGTACTGTGCTCACTTTCTATTTATTTTTGATTACAAATATTTGCACTGTAAAAAAAAGAAATAGTATTTTTCAATTCACGTCACACAAGTACTGTAATGTAATCTCTTTATCATGAAAGGTAAACTTATAAATGTAGAATTATGTTAAAAAAATAATTGCATTCAAAAATAAAACAATGTAAAACTTTAGAGCCTACAAGTTCACTCAGTACTATTTCTTGTTCAGCCAGCAGAAGGTTGATTTTCTTTTTTGGTGGTTCGGGTTCTGTAGTTTCTGCATCAGAGTGTTGCTCTTTTAAGACTTCTGAAAGCATGCTCCATACCTCATCCCTCTCAGATTTTGGAAGGCACTTCAGATTCAGATTCTTAAACCTTGGGTTGAGTGCTGTAGCTATCTTTAGAAATCTCACATTGGTACCTTCTTTGCATTTTGTCAAATCTGCAGTGAAAGTGTTCTTAAAAAAGAACAACATGCGCTGAGTCATCATCCGAGACTACTATAACATGAACTATATGGCAGAATGTGGGTAAAATAGAGCCGGACACATACAATTCTCCCCCAAGGACAATTTAATTATTTAATTTAATACATTTTTTTTAACGAGTGTTATCAGCATGGAAGCATGTCCTCTGGAATGGTGGCTGAAGCATGAAGGGGCATATGAATGTTTAGCATATCTGGCATGTAAATACCTTGCAATGCCAGCTACAAAAGTCCCATGAGAATGCCTGTTCTCACTTTCAGGTGACATTCTAAATAAGAAGCAGGAAGCACTGTTTACATTTATGGGAGATAAAGTTGTTTGGTTTAGCTGTTGGTTGAAAGAGAAGTAGGACTGAGTGGACTTTTAGGCTCTAAAGTTTTGTACTGTTTGTTTATGAGTGCAGTTATGTAACAAAAAAATTCTACATGTGTGAGATGTACTGCAATCTCCTTGTCATAAAAGTGTAATAATTGTATGAGATGAATTGAAAAATACTGTTTCTTTTGTTTATAATTTTACAGTGCAAATATTTGCAATAAAAATAATCATATAAAGTGAGCAGTGTACACTTTGTATTCTGTGTTGTAACTGAAATCAATATATTTGAAAATGTAGAAAAACATCCAAAATATTTAATAAATTTCAGTTGGTATTCTATTGTTTAACAATGCGATTAAAACTCGGATTAATCGTGATTAATTTTTTTAATTGCGATTTTTTTGCGTTAATTGTGTGAGTTAACAGCGATTAATCGACAGCCCTAATAAATAATGCTTTGCTCTGAAGACACCATTTTTGAGTTGCTTTAATCAACTCACTAGTCACAGGTCCCTGAAAGAAAAAGGTTTGCAGGTCCCAACCACAGATGGGCCTGCTACATTAAGAGGCTGTGGCCCAGTGACTGAGTCCCATAGTGGCTGGACCATCTGGTACCACACAGAGTAAGGTGTAGGAAACCAGTGCTGTCACCTAAGGGGTGCAACTCAAGAGGAATTAAAAGGGTGTTAAGTGCAATTTGCCCTGTAACTGTGAAAACAACATTCCACTTCTCTACAATTATCCTGATGCTGCTTACTCAGGCTATTTTACTCATATTCCAAACATCTGATCTTTTAAAAGCTTCTTTGTTTGCCAATCTTATTTGTTTTAACAGTCTTGAAAGACTGTTACCTAAACACAATGGCTTTAAAGAATTTCTAATGATGATTTACATTTACATAACATCTTACGTCCCAAGGAAGTTTTTTGTTTTGTTTTATAAGAAAAGCTCTGTAGGGATCCTTTCACACGGCAGTGAAATGTAATCAACCTGGAGTGATGCATGGCAACTGTATAACAGCATACAATATTAGGCAGCACTTTAGACGATGTCTACACCATATACCCCACAGCGTGCTACTGTACGGATGCAGCTGCGCCACTGTAAGATCTCTCGTGTAGCCATTCTATGCTGATGGGAGAAGCGTTCTCCCGTCGACATAATTAATCCACCCCAACAACTGGTGACAGTTATATCAGCGGGAGACGCTCTCTCGCCGACATAGCGCTGTGCACACTAGCGCTTATGACGCTGTAATTATGTCGCTTAATGTACCTCTAACTGGAGGTTGCCTTTTGAGATTGTCGACATGGGTGCCAATGAGTGCCAACTGTAATGAACACCTGTCTAGAGCTGGTTTACATCATTGACTCATGTCATCTCGGTCACTGAACAGCTCGCTGTCAAATGGCAATGATTTTCACTCAGTATTGATTTGTGCTGGATTCAAACCAGTGACCTAGAAATAAAAGGCTCTGTGTCCCATTTCTAATTCCTAGAGCCTTTCAGCCTTCTCAATCCAAACTGTTAGGACTGTTTTAAGCAAAACATCCCCCCTCCATATATAATCCTCCATTCTCTAAAGTAACATCCAGTCGTTAAACAATCTTAGATTGAGAGAATGCTACCATAATGTTTATCTTAGCAAAAGTAAAGAAATGAAATGACACATATTTACCAACTTGCCAGCTTTAAATGTAAATTCCTGAATTCATCATTTTTAGATCTCAGAAGGAACAACCTGCCATTGTAATTCAAAGGACACAGGATGCACAAACCGATGTCCATATACCCACTTTTGAAAGAACTGCTCAGCCCAGGTTAGATTTTGTCTTTCCAGGTTCCAAAGTTAGCCATCAATCTGAGGCAGGTAACAAAATGAAAAATGGGGAATGGGGGAGGTGTAAAATATCCAATTTCTTTTAATAAACACTGCAGAGGAAGTTCACATTTTCAAATTTAAGAGCTGCCATTCTTAACTTCCTGCTGCAAATGAAGACCACAGAAATTTGATCTTAAATGTGTATGAACTGTACTTTAGCCATGTTTGTCCCAAGATATAGAGAGACAAGGTGGGCGAGGTAATATCTTTTATTGGATGAACTTCTGTTGATGAGAGAGACACGCTTTTGAGCTACACAGAGCTCCTCTTTAAGTCTGGGAAATGTACTTAAAGCTAAATAGAAGGTGGAACACATTGTTTAGCATACATAGTTAAAACCTATTTCAAAGGCGCATTCAAGAAGTTATGTGCCTTGTGCAGTAACGATGGTTCTTCGAGATGTGTGTCCCTATGGATGCTCTATTGTAGGTGTGCCTGCGTCCCTGAGCTGCTGATCAGAGAACTTTGGTAGCAGTGTCCATTGGGCCAGCACATGCGCGGTCTCTACTTGTCCTGGGCCACAAAGCTAGACAGCACATGCAGGCTAACCCTTCTCCCTCCAGTTCCTTCTCTACTGCAAAGTTAAGACAAGAACTCCAAAAGATGGGTTTTCCATAGGGACACACATCTCTAAGAACCATTGTTACTGCACAAGGTAAGTAACTTCTTTGAGTAGTGTCCCTATGGGTGCTCCATTGTAGGGGACTACCCATGAGTGCCCCTTCTAGAGGGCCAGGACTTTGGAGTCGGGTCAGTTACTGATGACACCGTGGAGCAGAAGATGGCATTGGAGTGGACTCCCAAGTGATCGCATAATGTTCTGCGAAAGTGTGGACTGACGTCCACATTACCACTCTACAGAT